TAGCTTATGGTAAATCAGCAGCACTATGAGCTCATTCTCTCAGTGTATCATCAGGAATACACACACACACATCATTTAAATAAGAGTTTTCAAATTCAAATGATAGGTTAAGAATAAAACATCTTTAAAGTAAATAACAATAAACAATAGCCCTTAACCCTGTAAGGCCCCCAGTTGTAATTTTACAACATTACTTGAAGCTATCCTAAAAAAGTCAGTAAATGTTTTGTTTTTTTTAAAGACTACATTTACATAGTCAAAAGGTCCTTTTGTTCAGCCTCACAATGCTATTGGGTAGTACATGTGTTATAGGTCCTGCCCTCTGGCCATACACGCCAGGAATTTTGGGCCCCATGAAAAGATATCACATTGGGCCCCACCACCAGGCCCAGGCCACGCCAAACAAGCACAATTGCTGTAACCACACCTCCAGAACCCAACCAACTCATTTATTCTTTAAATAACTCTACCTGTACAGGCTTGCATCTATCTTGTAGTCCAATACTAACCGCACAATATTTACTGACACTGAGCTGTGAAAATATAAAACTGTGCAGACGTGCAACATTCTGCTGCAGTAGAATTCACTATTTGATATAAGACTAACATTCCTGACAATATATCTCAATAGTAATCTTTTATGGTGTAAATGCCTTTTTAATAATAACATTTATGAATGGAACATTCTCAACATGAATGCATAAATCCAAATAAATATAACTTAAATGTGTGGAAAAATACTGTGTTTTTCTTAAATGAGATGTTAGCTTTTTGTTTTGATATATATATATATATGTATTGTATTCCAGTCTCCCTTCAGACATGTTAAGTGGCATGACATTCAACACAATGCTGCTCACCTCCTTCAGTTGGGAGAAAAGCTGGTTCAGGTTCAGCATTATGGGGGGACAGGGCTGCTGAGCCTGAAGATGGATCTGTTGGTCCTGGCACCAGGGAGAGGGACAACTGATTTAGTATGAATAGCTGCTAAAAATGTACCTGCATTTACTAAATGTCAGCTAAAAGAGGAGTGAAATTAAAAACCCGTATAGATATTAACAGTACTTAATGTCAGCTTAGGAAGAAAAAAAACATAACAATTATTATTTACAATGGACTACGCGTAGCTAAAAGACACATTTCCACCACTCATAGACCACACCCACATTTTCTTTGAAAAACTGGGTGACATACTGTCGCCCTTTAGTCCCTCTCTCTTGTCTTTCTCTCCTTTCTTTTCTCTTTTGAAAGCTTGACTTTGTTAGTCGTTGAGACATGGTTCACACGTAAGTACTAGCATCCCTGCTCCTAACATGCTCTCACTCTCTGCTAGAAAGTGCTGGCGGTGCTGCACCGCGTTTGGAGGCAGGACCAAACCATTACATGTAAATAGAAGGGGGTGTACAGAGGCTTTGGATAATTAACTTTTGGAAGAAAATAAGTTAAATGAATTGTAAGTTTAGTGAGTACATTATCAATATAACATCCTATTAATGTTCATTCTTGATGAATGATGAAAGGTTACTTAAACATTTTTTTCTTAATGTTCTAAAATAGTTTGGGGCCCGTGGAAAGGGTGTTTGGGGTGGCCAATAGGGTGGCCAGGATTCAGCTGGGGGTGGCCGTGGCCACTTTCAGCCACCCCCCAGCTCCGCCACTGTGACCGTCCCGCCACTCGTCTCCAGCCACACTTTGTCCCCCGCCCCGAGCCAGAGCAGCATGTCCCCTGCTGACATGTGCAGACCTCCCAGAAAAACCTTGAAGCTGCGCAGCGCCACCTTATTGTTACGAATCAGGTCTACATTTCCTGAACTGAGGAAGGATTTGCAGAGAAAGCTGAATTGATAAGCACCGGGGATGACGCAGGTGAACTGGCCCGTCTCTGTGCTGTAGTGGCCCCGTTTGTTGTAGATGAACTCTTGGAAACGGATGATTCTCTCTGAGGAGGGGCTGTACTCGCCCAGGCGGACGGAGAAGGCAGAGTTTGACAGTGAAGCATTGCTGGGAAGAGCTGGCAGCTGGTCTTTTTTTATGTTTGATGCTAATGGATCTGCAGAGGAACAAAAGTATAGATTACTCTGCTTCCTTGATGAAATACATTTATGACCTGCTGCTATGTTATGAACTATCCAGAGGTGAATTGAAACATAGCCCATGTATTCAAAACCTGTACTTAATTACCCTTTCGAGATACTTGAGTATTGCATTTGTCTACTACTTAATACTTTTAAAAACGTTTGAATAAATTAACTGTTTATAATTTGTTGTAGTAATTAGTAGTTTTTTTGAAGATCATCTTATAAAACATGACACACAGTTCGGTTAAAGAAATCTCTCATAAAAACTTAAGGGTTTCTTCGTTGTCTTTTAGAATAGCTAAAGAACAATTACACCTGTTACCAGATGATGCATTAAACAAGTATTTCCTGTAATTGTCCGTCTTTTTTAAATAAAAATGACAAAAAAAGAGGTAATTCACAGTGAGTCTCGTTTCGTTGCTATGGCACCGTTGTTTCACAGGTAGCACATGCCACGGGATTTCCTTCCTTTCAAGCCGTTTTCTTTTATCAGTAAATAAAAATGTTCCGACTTCCAAACATTGGCTGATCTGGGGCTGATAATTCAGTTCAGCCGTCAGAACTAAATTGAAAACGGCTGAGGATTTGTCTGTGCACAAGAATGTTTAACTCGACCACTGCCTGGGAAATGGTTTTAAATTGATCAGTCACGGATTGAATTGTTGAAATTTCAATGAAGATACTGAGGTTACGTTTTTTTTGTTTTTTAAATGTGTTGGGTAAATATGTGTTGTTTTCATTTATTTTGACTTGATGAGTATTATAAAGTAAAAATAAACAAAATAGACTACCTCGTTGTCCTGGAGTCCCCTCACATCCTGAGGTTCCTGGGCAGACTGGGGTATTTGAGGTTCCTGGGAAACCTGGGGCTCTTGAGGTTCCTGATGTGTCTGGGGAGACTGGGGAACTTGAGGTTCCTGGGGAGACTGGGGAACTTGAGGTTCCTGATGTGTCTGGGGAGACTGGGGAACTTGAGGTTCCTGGGAAACCTGGGGCTCTTGAGGATCCTGATGTCTCTGGGGAGACTGGGGAACTTGAGGTTCCTGGGAAACCTGGGGCTCTTGAGGATCCTGATGTCTCTGGGGAGACTGGGGAACTTGAGGTTCCTGGGAAACCTGGGGCTCTTGAGGTTCCTGATGTGCCTGGGGAGACTGGGGTACTTGAGGTTCCTGG